AAGATATTAAAAATTGTAAATTAACATAAATTATTAAATTATATTGATAAGAGAGGTATTAAAAATCAGACGATAGGCCGAAGGGGGGGCCCGAACCGAAGAATCATACCATGAGGCATAGGAGGCACCCCTTCGGTCAGGCAATAGGCCGAGAGGGGTGCCCGAGCCGAACACCTCTTCGGCCTCAGGGGAGGCCGAACACCTCTTCGGCCTCAGGGGAGGCCGAACACCTCTTCGGCCTCAGGGGAGGCCGAACACCCTTTCGGCCTCATACCTAGCCGAAGACTTCAATAAATCGGCCATCAAGGACGAGTCAAACACCTCGGCATTGACCTAGGCCGAGCACCCTTTCGGCCTCAGGGGAGGCCGAACACCCTTTCGGCCTTACGCCTAGCCGAGGACTTCGACAAGTAGATCATAAACAACACGTGGCGAGTTAGATACTTATTATGCGCTGATTACCATGACAGATTAAGAGGAGATTAAGACTAATTCAAGGGTTACCCGTCTCCCAAGACTGAAGGCCCACCAGGCCCAATTGTGTCACTATAAATATACAGGTAGTATGACATAAGTGAGGTACGTTACTATTCCAACTAACATATTTATTGTTCCAAACCGAACACTGACTTGATCGTCGGAGTGCCTTTGCAGGTACCCTCCCCACACTCGGAGTTAGTAATTCGGTCGGCACAGAAGACTCGGAAGGATACGAAGGCTGCTAAGGAGGAAGTAAGGAGACGAGTGTTCTTGCGACAGGAACATTTTGGCGCCCACCGTGGGGCCGAAGCTAGAACGGTTTTCGACCCCGAAGTTAGAGCGATCTTCTACCCCGGAGCAAGATGGTACTTACGAGAAGTCAGCAAGAGAACGTAGTCACCGAGCACCCTTACGGGATGCCCAGAGGTACTCCCATACGGCGAGCCGATCAGAACGACGGAATGGAGGAATCATACGTAGACCGATCTCAGCAGCCTAACCCCTCCTCGGCCCTCGAACAGTTAAGAGCCGAAATGATGGAACTCAGGAGACTCCGAGAGAAGGACGCTCACGAGTTATCAGCTTTAAGAAGAGAGAACGCCGAGCTTAGGAGCGATAACCGGACGTGGCAGTGTGTGTGTGTGTGTGTGTGTGTATGTGTGTGTGTGTGTGATTTCTCATATTTAATAATAATTTTATTTTCACCAACATCATCAATAAAAATATCTACCTCATATCTAAATCATTACTTACCAACATAGTCGTATTGCTCACCATTTTGAACATCAATATCTAGATTATGAATAGACAACTAAACTAGATCAACATCAACCATGCCACTATCTTCCTTGAGTGTAAACTTCTCCACCTTATCAATGTCTTCAATGCTTTAGTCTTCCATGAACTTCATATCATAACTTCTAAGAAGCTTCTTCTCAGCAGAATCATAGAACCTATAACCAAATTAATCCTCACGAAAGCCAATAAAGATACATTGCCTCAATTTTCTATCCAACTTCGATATCTCATCCTTTGGAATATGCACAAAAATGCATTATAACCAAAAACTCTCAAGTGATCATACTTGATATTTTTGTTAGACCAAATTTTATTTGGCACCTCACTTTTCAAAGAAACAACATGACTAAGATTGATAACATGCACTTCTGTGTATAGTACTTCACCCCAAAAATGCTTGGATAACAACTTCAAAAAGTATACATCTTAGTCTCTCAATCAATGTCCTGTTTGTCTTCTTTGCTAAACTATTTAGCTATGGAGTTTTAGGAGGAGTTTTCTCATGTGCAATACGATGATGCCTATAGTAGATATCAAACAGTCCACAATACTCATCAACATTATTAGTACGAATGTGTTTTTCAGCTTCTTGCCTGACTACTTCTCAACTAAGGCATGAAACACTTTGAACTTCACCAACATTTGGCCTTTTTTCTTCAAAGCATAGACCCATAGTTTCATGGAACAGTCATCAATAAAGATAATAAAATAAAGTGAACCACCAAAAGATTTTACCTTCAAAGGACCACAAACATCTGAATATACCTATTCAAGCAAGTCAGATTTCCTAGAAGGAGGATACTTCTTAAAGGATATTCTAATCTACTTACCAACCATGCAATGAGAACATTTCTCTAACTCTACATTCTTCAACCCCTGAAGCACATTTTTTTGGCTAAACAATTCAATTCTTTCTCATTGATATAATAACCAAGCCTTCAGTGCCATAAAGATGTCTCCATATACATGGCATTCACATTGTCTTTAGCAGACAAAACTTTTGTCCAGTAATCCTTAGAATTTCTCTCTCATTTGGCCACAATCAAGTTACCTTTGGTGAGTTTTCATTTTCTAGGACCAAAGTGATTATCATAACCACCATCACCAAGCACCTGCACAAAAATCAAATTAAAATGAACATTTGGAGCATGCTTAACTCCTTTAAGCAATAACTGCATCCTCATGTTGGTTTGCAAGTAAACATCACCAACATCAAACACCTTGGACACATCATCATTACCCATCTTCAAGACTCCAAAATCACCTAGAGTATAAGATGTGAAAAACTCCTTCCTAGTTGTAACATGCAATGTAGCACCACTATCTATTATCCACATACTCTTATCGGATACAAGATTAATTACATCAAGATCACAAAGAATAACAAGATCATCACTAATAACACAATCACCATCATCACGATCTCTTTCTCTACTTACCCTTCTTGCCTTTTTTACCCTTTTTTCCATAGAAAACAGTCCTTTGTATACATATTGTTTTGTGACAATAAAGTGACACTCCACATTCTTGTATCGAGACCTAGACTTACTCCTTCTTTTGTATTTACCACCCTTTTATTTTTTTTTTTCTTTTGACATTTCCCCTTGTTCTTAGTAACAAGCACCTCTGAATGAGATGAAGTACCACGTGTCTTCCTTCTCATCTCCTCATTATGCGTACCACTTTTTTTTTCCATTTGTAAAGAAATATCACCATTAATTAGGAGCAACACTAATAATGAAAATATGCAATGTCTCCCACGAATCAGGTAGAGAATTCAATAAGAATAATTCTAATAAATCTTCATCAAATTTTATACCTACTTCGGATAGCTGATCAAAATGTCCTCAAAATTCACTCAAGTAATCTGTAATGGGACTTCTTCTTTGTACTTCAACTCCACAAAACTCTTTAACGAGTACAATTCATTAGTCCCTAATTTAGCATACAGGGACCCAAGCTTATCCCATAGGGTTCTCCCATGTGTCTCATTAGCAATAAAATTGTAGACATTATCATCAACAAATTGTCTGATAAATCCACACATCTGTTAATGCTCAAAATCTCATTCTTCATCAGACTTGGATTTTGGCTTATTAGAAGTAAATACAAGAAGATGCAAATTCTTTGCAAAGAGCAAGTCCTTTATTTTGCTCTTCCATAAGTGATAATTTTATCCATTCAAAGAAATCATCTTCGTATGTGCCTCTATTATTCAAGCAAGTCAAATAGTCCCTTAACCAAAGAGCTATGATGTCGCTCTAGTGGGAGAAAGTCTAACATAATAACAACTCAATAAAAGAGCAATAATCTAGCAAAAATTAAATCCCCCTATGCAAATCAGCGAGTAGCACCAACAAATAGAGCAAAAATAAATAACTCAAATGCACAAGAGACATAAATATTTTTAATGTGAAAAATCTCTTAATGTAAGGTAAAAATCACGAGTCATCCAAACCAAAGAAAAAAGCTCCACTATGATCAACAAAGGATATAAAAGAGTCTCCAAAGAATGCACCAAAAAGTGCTTACAATCATTCAAAGCAAACTAAGCACAATTGCTTACAAATGAGAAATTCATAGGAAGATGAAAAGCCCCAATATAGATTTGTTACTGCGAAACATTTTTCTCATGCTCTAGACTTTCTTTCGATGATCCAATTGTTAAATACAAATTGCCATATCATATGAACCTGTTGTCCAAAATTCATCTTGATTCAACAATGAACAAATCTCTAGTTACAATTCAACAAATGTTATTTGGTGAATATGCGAATTGAATAATTGAACTTTCTTTCTTCTCTTCTCTTTGTATTTTGCTTTAGTTTCCTCTAAAAATGAGTCACTGTCTTTACCCTAACTTGTCCCATCTCAACATAATTAGGTGAAACATATTGGACTTATACATTTGGACATATTTTCCACATAGGAAGGGAACCCAAAATCCAACATATCTAAATGCAATAACTTATTAAATTTTAAGCACTTATAGCATAAATTTTTTATTACATAGGAGTTTATTAAATAAGTTGTTTGTACAAATTAACAAACCCTAGATCCAATAAATTTATTTAGTTCAAATTAAATCACCCTATGAATGGCTATAAGATGCTATATTTTCAAAATTGGATCAATATTTAACTGATCTAAACTCTAGATTTAAGGTTTAATGGTCGTAGTTGAACCTGTCATCAAATCAATATTAATAAACTAATCATTATTATTATCAAAAAATAATATTAAATAAATATAATAATTTAATAACACTAAAAATTAAAATAAAGCATTATTTATAGATTCTTAACATTTAATGTATATTTAAAATTCTAAACTATATAATATAATATAACTTTAAGTTTTGATAAAATATAACAATTTTTATTAATAATAACAAGTTTACATATAAAATAAAATGTATCAAATTAATATGATATAAACTATAAAAATATATTAAAAATTATAAATTAACATAAATAATTAAATTATATTTATGAGACAAATATTAAAATAAGTTATTCTAATTTATAATTTTATTAAATATTATTTTTATTAAAATATTTTAATAAATTTTAAAAATTTTAAAAATAATATTTTAATTGAACCAGTTCTTATACCAATTTCGACCGATTCTAAACCAATTTTATCAATTTTTCACCAATTTCATACAAGATAATTTTCTAAACCAACTAAATTAGTTGAAAATTAATTTCCATTTCGACCGTCCCACTTGGCTGATTTTCAAAACTATCATAAGAAAATTCGAGTCTAATTTACATGTATTATATTTAGATTAGGTTGTGTTGACAATTAGTTTGAGGCTTATCCTTTGGTCGTATTGTTTATCTATTTAAGGAGGTTGCGCTTATACAACTTCAACCCAATCTGTTTTAGATAACATTTAAGTGTATATATTTCGATCTGTTTTTAATCTTTATAGCAATTGTTTTACAGTGATCTTGTTAATATGATGAGCACTCCACAATTGGAGCTTCCGGCAAACAGGTATGAACATATCAATGTACATGTTAATTTGGCTGAACTCCAAAACTCCATATATTTCTATTTGGACTTGAATTTATAATCCAATCAATAATTTATATGGGCTCATTTCAGATTCTGGATAAACAAACACAAATTACTATCAAAATTAGTCCATTTTTTATATTATTAATTTTAGAGTGAGTGGGGATTAGTACGAGAATATCCAGTATTTTATTAGTTCTTTGTTTTGCAGTCATGGGTGTCTAATCCTCTATCCATCATTTTTATGGATATAAAAAAAAAAAAAATCACATACCACATTACATTACATCAATTTCGACCTTTTAATGACTAAGCGTATATTAATATTTGCTCTTCTGTTTTATTTTAGTCATATATACATTAAGATGACAAATCAATCACTTTCCAACCATGGAACTGATGCAAGGGTTTTTGGGTTTCAAACTCCTACGTGCATATTGATGGTTTGATGTTGATCATAAGGTCTTTTATTTTTGCACGTACTTTTTTTTTCAAACAAGTTTGATGTTGAATTCAAAACGAGTCAGTGTCTCCATTCAAACTGCAGGTGCGAACTTCATTAAGAAAATATATATTACTTTTATTGTATTATTTATCTCACGACAACCGATAATATAATCAAATTAATATATAACTAGAAGATAAACCTTACCTTATAACAAATGATATACGGGGTCTAACGTAAATTTAATCAATTAATCAAAACAAGAATCAAGAATTACAAAAGGCAATTGATTCCATAATTAATGTTGCAGTAATCAATTTTGCCATCCGAAAATACGTACATTTCACGCGACTGTGAAGGTAGTTTTCACTTAATTACATTAAATTTTTGTGCAGACTAGAAGGAAAGGTGGCTTTGATCACTGGTGGGGCAAGGGGTGTTGGTGAGAGCATGGCAAAGCTCTTCTGCAAACATGGAGCAAAGGTGGTGATTGCAGACATTCAAGATCAACTAGGACAAGCCGTACAAGAAGAAATTGGAACTCAACATGCAACTTATGTACATTGTGACGTGTCCAAAGAAACTCATGTTGAAAATGCGGTTAACGCAACTATATCCAAGTATGGAAAGCTAGACATAATGGTGAACAATGCCGCAACAGCAGATGCTGCTAAACCCAGCATTCTTGACAATGATGTGACTGAATTTGAACGTGTTGTTAGTGTGAATCTGGTAGGTCCCTTCTTGGGAACAAAGCATGCAGCAAGAGTGATGATCCCAGCCAAAAGGGGTAGCATAATAACAATAGGAAGTGTTAGTTCAAGCGTTGGAGGGGTTGCAACTCATGCATACACAAGCTCTAAGCATGCCATTGTGGGACTCGCAAAGAATACAGCTGCTGAGCTTGGAAAATATGGCATTAGAGTGAATTGTTTGTCATGCTACTTCATCAGTAATACAGCTGCAAAAGAGCTCTTCAAACTAGATGATGATGGGTGCTCAAGAGTTTATTCAAATCTTAAAGGGGTTGCTTTGAAAGAAGAAGATGTTGCACAAGCTGCACTCTTTTTGGCTAGTGATGAGTCTAAGTACATTAGTGGCCATAATCTAGCTGTGGATGGAGGCTTTACAACTATTAATCCAATTTTCGGTTTGTTTTCACAATCTTAAGTGTTAAATCTCAACCAACATGGTGCAATGTTGTTAACAAATAATTAAGTATGAGTTTGATCTTGTTTTTATGGAAGAACATGAGTTAAGAGTCTTTTAAATAAATCTTGGTATATTTATGGATTGGTTTGTGAGTTTTGAATCTCTTGCATGGATTTTCAATAATAATAAAAAGTTTGATCTCTAGATTCATTTTCTCATTCATGAACTTGTTTAATTTCTATGTAATAAATAGTGATAAGTCCATATATATCCAACAAAAAACTAATCAAGCATTTTTCGATTCAAATTATTTATACATCTTCTATTAGCACCTATGAAGCATGGATACTTCAATTTGTTTCACGTATCCGTACCCGTATCCGACACGATACTTTTGGATACTTCACCGATACGTGTCAATGAAGTATCGATCCTAGCCTTCAAAAATATTATAAAAATTTTATTCAATTTTGATACTTTCAAATACTTCACCCATACTTAATAGTAATATATATTAATAAAGTATTCAAATTTTAAAAAAATTATGAAATATCCATTACAGTTATAAACATGTTTAATATAAAAACATAGAACTATTGGTCATTGATAAACTGTAAATGAAAATTGTCTTTTATAATTTTAAGAAAGGAATGAAATTGGTAATATTATTTCTATTTGTAAAAAATAAAAGGTAATTTATGATGAAATGATTTATAATTTATTTACTTTTAGTAGTGTACAATAAGTATTTTTTAATTTGGATTTGTAAAATAGCAATTATATATTTAATATTTATGAATTTTGATCAAAATTTTATACACATTTATTATATTGTATGAATATTAATACATATGATAACACGTATCTTATAAGTATCGTATCCTATATATTTTTAAATAATCGTATCACCGTATCAGATACGTGTCATATCCGATACGCGTATCGTATCGGTGCATCATAGATTAGCACCTTTATCATATTAATATCAAGGTGCGTACGTATAATCGTAGAAGAAGGATGATTTATTTTCATAATCCAGCTCCTAAATGGGCTGTCTTTCCTAAATTAATATCCAAAATAATCACTACTAGAAAAGTGTCATTTTCTTGCGAATTTTCCTGCAAAAAAATATTCGCAAAATTTTTTTACAAATTTTCTTGCAAAAAAATATTCGCAGAAATTTTTTACAAATTTATTTGCGAAAAATAATATACAGATATTTCTTACAAATTTTGCTACAATTTTAATAATCATAGAAATTTTTTTCCATGGTAAAGATTTGCAGAAAATATTGTAAGAACTTTATTTTGTTTCTTGCAGATTTTCTTGCAAAAATAAATTCACAAGTAATATTTACTAAATGGTAGAAAAATTTTGAAAAATAAAAAATATTTAAATTTATAAGTTTAATATTTTAAAACAACTTGAAGTCCCACATCGATTAAAAATAAAACAATTAAAGAGTATATAAGTTGGGGCAACACTTACCTTACAAGTTGATTTGTATGGTTGAGTGTTAGACTTATAATCTACAATCTTAGAATTAAAAATTTTATGTATCACATGTTGGAGGCATGGAAACAAATGTTTCGGATGAATTCATTGTGAGCATTTGAAAGTTGAAAATTTATTTATAAAATTTATAGTAATTTCTTTAATTTTTTATAATAATAAATCTATATAATCTTTTTGTTAATTTATTTACGAAAAATAATTTTTAGAAATTTGTTACAAGTTTTTTTTATGGAAAATAATCTATAATAATTTTTTGAAAATTTTACTACAATTTTGATGATCATAGAATTTTTTTCATGGTAAAAATTCACAGAAAATGTGGTAACAATTTTCTTTTGCTTGTGAATTTTCTTGTGAAAATAAATTTGCAAGTAATATCAGTATTATAATAAATTATAGAAAAATTTTGCAGATAATTTTTTCTGTGAATTTTTCTACCAATTTTAATCTGTATGAAAAATTAGAAAGAAATTTAATTTATAAGTTTAATCATTAATAGTTTTAATTAAAAAATATTATTTTACTAAATTATTTATAAATGTATCATTATAATTAATTTTAATTTTAAAATTAAATTAAATATATAAATTTTTTTAAATATGATAAATTAATGATAATGAGTTTTAATTGAATGATAATTTATAAAATTATAAAATTAAAAGTATCTATTAAAAAAATATTATTTTACAAAATTATTTATAAATATTTCATGAAAATTAATTTTAATTTAAATTATTAATAAATTAAACATTTATTTTAATTAAATGTATAAATTTATGATAATGAGTTTTAATTTAATGATAATTTTTTAAATAAAATTTAATTAAAAAAACTATTTTTTAGAATATTGAATATTTTAAGAGTTAATATAATTTATAATAATATAATTTTGTGGTTCAATATGATTGAATTAGTTTTATTTCTAAGGACATGATTTAATTATTTTTTAAAGAAAATCTTAAGTCTCACATTGATTAAACATAAGACAATTAAAGAGTATATAAGTAGAGACAATAGTTACCTTATAAGTTAATTTTGTAGGTTGAGTTAGATTTATAACCTATATTCTAATATAACCTCATTCTAAAATTTCAAAAGGTCGTCAATCACATGTTGAAGGTGTGAAAAACATATTATGGATTCAAGTGAGTGTTTGAAAGATAATAATTAAAAAATTAATGGTAATTTGATATTCACAATTATGATAGAATTTATTGTAATAATATATCAACATATATTATATTTGTTAACAACATATCAACATACATTATATTTGTAATATAAGTAAAAGTAATTTTTAATAATAAATATTATATTATGATAAGATATGCTTCAGCGCAAGACAATTTTTTTTTAATGATTAAAACTAAAATTAATAGGACATTACACTAGTAATCTTTTTCTTAAAGAAATAAGTAATAATAATAATAATAATAATAATAATAATAATAATAATAATAATAATAATAATAATAATAATAATAATAATAATAATAAATTATTTTTAAAACATGATCAAGTTCATTAAGCGGACACAATTTAGATATTCCAAATTAATTTACTGGGACAATTAACTATCACACGTCAATTAAGATATTTTTAATAATAGTAATAATTAAGGGTGTAAACGTCTCGGATTAAATTGAATTCAAATTATTTCATAACTCAATTTAATTAAACTTAATCAATTGAATTAAGTTAGATTTTTATGTTTTATTTTTTAGGCGATCCAATCCCACCCAACTGCAATTAAGTTGACTAATCAAGTTGAATAATTAAAAATTATTATATTCTAAAATTTTGAAAAATATACAAACAGAAAAGAAAAAAATACATATTTAATGAAAATTTAATACATGATACAAATTACAATCAATAATCATAAATGAATTTGACAATCCAACATTAACTTCATAACTTTTTTTTCACGTTTTGTTTCGTGAGAGTTGTATGGGAGTGTAACTCTTGTTAATCTAATTTAAGTTTCAATAAAAGAATATTAAGTAACTTAAAAGTAATAGTATTAATAAAATAAGTTAGTCAAAGCGATACGTTTGGTTGGATTAATAGAGTTAAAAATCTCTTTATTTAATTTCTAACTTGATTAAAATTGGGTAGCATAAAAAATTACTTAACCTGAAAAGATGATCCAACCAAATTCTAAAAAATGTACGTAATTGGATTGAATAGATAATTTAGATTTTATCCACTTGCATTTCTAATAATAATAATAATGTATTATTCAAAATAAATCATGAGTATCAACTATCGAGTGATTGTAATTTCATTACGATAAAATTTATTATTATTGACAATTATTTAACGATAATAAATTAATTATTTTTATTTTATTACTTAATAAAATTATTAATGACTAATATAATGATTATTAAAAATGTATTACATCACACCAAAATTTACTATTAGCGACAATTATTTATTAAGAAAAATTTTAGTCTCACATCGACTAGAAATAAGATAATTAAATAGTATATAAATGGATGATAACTCTCACCTTATAAGTTTGTTTTGTGTAGGGTTGAGTTAAACCTATAACTTATTATTCTAAGTTGATATGAGATTACTCATCATTATCAAACTCAATAGTTCCTAAACTTCAGGGGACCGACTATTGATAGAGTTTTTTACTCAAATAATACTATTTAAAAAAAAATTACCCAAATAGCAACGGTCCAAATTTATTTTCCCAACTAGCACCAATTACTGTTCACGTTCGAAACGGGCTATTTTGAAATTAGAACGGGTCGTTCCGGATTAAAAAAAACACATGGAAAATAAATCAGAACGGACCGTTCCAAAATCAAAACTAATACATAAAAAGTGAAACCAGAACGGCTCGTTCTGCTTTCAGAATGGGCCGTTCTGACCTACAAATAATTTTTTTTTTCGATTTTCACTTATCAAATATCAAAACTCAGAAACTAACATCAAATAATTAAATTTATTGAATATTAATATTATAAATATATCTAAATAAATTTGTTAAAATTCAATACAACAATAAAGATCAATAGTGGCAGAAACTGATTATGTTGTTCTCTAATGTCCATTTCTGTTTTAATCCTGCTGGACTTTGGCCGACCCTTGAAAGTTCGCTTGAGTTCTAGATTTGGCCACAAAGTTGGACCAGTGTAAGTAGGCCAATAATCTTCATGTCAGAACTCTCCAAATGAAATTTTTGACCCACTGGGAGATTTACAGTAAGGCTAAATGAAATGTGGTATGATTGCGACAAGTTCTAGAAAGGTATACGAAGAATAGTTTGAAGAGCTCCGACAGGAAGATTACATCCGAGAAAAGTTTGACCCGCTGGGAGATTTACAGTAAGGCTAAATGAAATGTGGTATGATTGTGGCAAGTTCCATAAAGGTATACGAAGGACAGTTTGGAAAGCTTCGACATGAAGATTACATCCGAGAAAAGTTTGACCCACTAGGAGATTTACAATAAGGCTAAATGAAATGTGGTATGATTGCGGCAAGTTCCAGAAAGGTATACGAAGGACAGTTTGGAGAGCTTCGACATAAAGATTACATCCGAGAAAAGTTTAACCCGCTAGGAGATTTATAGTAAGGCTAAATGAAATGCGGTATGATTGCGGCAAGTTCCAAAAAGGTATACGAATAACAA